AGAACATATGCTCCCTGAATGAAAAGATATGGTGATAACGGGCAACCTTGACAGAGACCTCTTTAATTTAGAGTTGAAGATTCACCATTAATTAGAATATAGTAAACTAAAATTAGCTGTAATGCATTGAGAAAATAATTGACAAAAAGAGTAATCTAGTTATCCATATGGTCATTGGCTTTTGAAAAGCCCAGTACTCCATATGGTCATTGGCTTTTGAAAGTTCAATATTCACAACAAATGCCCCATATTTACCACCTCTTATATGAAAGCTATGAAGAATCTCTGAGGTTATAATCTAGTTATCAATACTTTGTCAGCTCGGGGTAAATGTAGTTTACATGGGAGATATTAATCGAGGAAGCAAACTTTTCAGTCTTGATGTGTTACTATTTTATAAGTAACATTTGTAAGACCTATAGGCCAAAAATCTATTACCTGTACTGGTCCCCCTAGCTTAGGTATTAAAATGATATTAGTAGCATTCACTGATGTAATTTTTTTTTTTTTTTTGAAGTTCCACTGCATCAATTCAATTATCTCAGATCAGAAATATTAGAGGACACAAGGGATAACCACATCTGGATAAAGAGACCAAATACATGGTCTATTACAAGATAACACCCAACACGCTAAGCAATGACCACTTTATTAGCAGCCCTCCTAACTAAAGATACCGAGATAGAAGGAAGGCATGAATAATAACTTCTGCAGTCAACAATTATAGAGCTGATTTGCCACGGTGTTTGTACTGTGTCCACCAACAGAAGCTGAACTATAACTGAAGCATGCCTTCTATAACCGCTTGGTGAAGATTTAATTCCATTGCAAACTCCAATCCATAGAGGAAAGCCTGAGCTTCCACTTCAAGTGATGTGCATGGAGACATGGGAATTGCTCGTAAAATCAAGTGAGAACCATTATGATCACGGAGCACAATACCAACACCAGCAGCCTCAGTGATAGTAGTTCCATCTACATTAATTTTTATGCAGTTCTAAGGAGGTTTAATCCATCAACTTGAGACATTTTGAGGCAGCTGTCATTTAACCAGTGGAGGAGATGATTTTTGGTTTGATTGAAGTATAAAGTTGATATAGGCTTGCACTCTCAGAAGAACTGACAGGGGACTAAATGGTTGATGTTCAAATACCTTCTTGTTCCGATGCCACCAAATGAACCACATCAATACAACATCACTCATGAGGACATGTCTTTCTTGCTGGGTTTGGTCCATTTTCCACCAATCAGTTAGCCTTTGGGCTACACTTTTACTTGAATCACAGTCCATACGCAAACATAGAGTGGAACCAGACCAGATTGGCATAACAACAGGGCAATAGAACAATACATGTTCCAACCTCTCCTCATGCTCGCCACAAAGAGGACACTCCATCTCATCTAGAACCCAATGCTTAGCTAAGCTGACCTTAGTGGGTAATGAGTCATTTACAACCCTCCAAACAAAAAGCTTCACACAAGGAGGAATAAGAGTATATTTCCACCGTCTAGTACAGATCTCCATCAATCACACCCATAGTAGAGGTTCCCGGACTTTCAACTTCTAGTAACTTTAAGCATGAGGAAGTTGTAAACTCTCCATGAGGGGTGGCCATCCAAACTAGGGTATCATAAGCTACAGTGCCTGGTTTTGGGAGCTGAATTCCAACAATACGCCTAACACTTTCATCATCAAAAATTGAGTTTAACTCTTCTCTTTTCCATGTCATTGAGGAGTGATGGATTATATTTGCCACTCGACCAAGTCTAGGTCTCAAATCTATGCTCTCCGGACCCCCATTAATTAAAGGCATCCAAGGGTCACAACCAACATCCACATCCCACCCATCGCCTATAATCCATCTGCAAGCTTTCAACAGAACTTTTTGGCAATCAAGCATGCTAGACCAGGTTGGAGAGGTATCACCCTTCCTTTTAGTGTTCCAAAAGGTTCCATGTTGTAAGTACTTTGCTTGGAGAATCTTCACCCACAAAGAATCTGTGTGTTTACAAAAGCGCCAACACAATTTTTCTATAAGAGATTTATTTCTCTATGCCACATCAACCAAACCTAATCCTCTAATTTCTTTAGATTTAAGTATACAAGTCCATGATTTGAGATAGTATCCCTTCCCTCTCTCCCTCTTTCCCTACCATAAGTCTTGACAAAGAGCATTAATATCATCAGCTACCTTTCTTGGTACTAGGCTTATCTGTAGATGATACATTGGTATTGTTTCGAGCGACGATTTGACAAGCATTATACGACCAACTTGCGACAAAGTATTTGATTCCCACCCTTGTAGCTTGTTTTTAATCTTGTCCAGGAGAAATTTCCAGTAAGCCGTTAAGGATCGAGAGCAAAACATAAGACCATCCAAGTAGAAACTTTGCTTCCCTAGAGTAGTGACCACCAACATAGATTGGATTCGATCACGGGTCCTTCTATGAGTGTTGGGACTGAAATAGATGGCTGATTTTTGGTAATTGATTTCCTGGCTAGACCATTCACAGAAGAGTTGTAACTGATCATTTAAGCATTGAACTTCAGCTAGAGAACATTTCCCAAAGATCAAAACGTCATCAACAAAGAGAAAATGGTTGATTCTTACTCCTTTCTTGCCAAACTTAATGCCATGGACCCCTCTGCTCTCCAATTTTGAAATTAGCAAACAAGATAGGATCTCTGTACACAAAATGAACATGTAGGGGGATAATGGGCAGCCCTGTCTGAGTCCCATAGAAGGATTAAAAAAATCTCCAACACAGTCATTAACCATAACAACAATGCTAGTAGTGGAAATACAATTGTATATCAAGATGCAAAAAAGGTAAGAGAACCCAAGAGATTGCAACACCTTGAGCACAAAATCCCATTCAAGCCTATCATAGGCTTTACTGAGATCTAATTTCAACATGAAATAGCTATTCTTACCTTTATACTTCTTCATAGTTCATATCCTCTTTACAGATGACTATGTTATCTGTAATTTGCCAATCCGGTGTAAATGCTTACTAGAAGGGAGATATAAGCTGAGGGAGAAGAGACTTCATTCTTCTAGTTATGAATTTAGCAATGATTTTGTAGGAAACATTACCAAGTCCGATGGGTCTAAAATCTTTGGCCTCCTCAACTTTATTGCTCTTTGGGATTAAGCAAAGAATAGTTTGGTTTATCTCTTTAATACTTGTTGGATTCCTAAAGAAATTTTGCACCATTGCCACCACATTATTTCGAATTGTCGACCAACATGTTTGGTAAACAGAGACATGGATTCCATCAGGTACAGGGGCCTTATGTGCTCCAATAGCAAAGACAGCACACCTGACATCTTCTTCATCAGGAATACTACAAAGTATTTCATTATGGGCATCTGTTATTTGCAAGTCCAATTCAAGGAAATCACTATGCTCTGGGTTGTTAGAATGGAACAAGTTTTGAAAGTAATGAGATAGAGTGTCCATAATACAATTTGGAGAAGAGGTCCACCTACCATTTGTAACTTTCAGCCAATGGATTGTGTTTTTACTCTGCCGATTAGAAGCAACGGCATGGAAATATCTAGTATTTCTATCTTCATTTGCAAGCCAATCAACTCTTGCACATTGTTTCCAGTAACACTCCTTCCTATCCAACCAAACCTCTAGCTGCTTTCTCAACTCCAACTCTTTGTTTGTATCTCGTAATTCACTATCCTGCATCTGTAATTGAGCTATCTCCTTCTCAAGCCGTTGAATATTTGAGGCTATGTAACCACAATGCTCATGTCCCCAATTATGCATTTCTTTCTTAACCTTGTCCCATTTGTGTGAAAAGGATCCCATATATTGGTTCCAGTGTCTAGTGAGATCGTTCAAGAAACCCTCTTCTCTCATCCAACACTCCAATTTCAATTGTTTGCGACCCTTAAAAGGTTGTAGAAGTTTCAGGAGAAGGAGACCATTCACTGATGTAATAACCTGAGGGTTCTCAGAAACAAGTTCATCTCCAACATCTTCCCAACATTGTTGATAAAATAATTAAAGCGGATATCCCATCCGGACCCAGAGATTTAGTTGGCCCAATAGCAAATAAGGCAGATTTAACTTCCTCATAAGAAGGTGTAGGTATGGAACAAAGCAAGTTAGTCTTCTAGAGTAACATCACAAAGAGCAAATTCAACAGGTATATTTTCACATAAAGGAGCAGTAGAAGAAAATAACTCGACAACAAAATAGCTACAGATGGTACCTTCAATGGCTGAAGGGTCTGAAGTCCATTGACCCGACCCTAGAGAATGTTTTAGCCAAAAACTACAATTCGTGATAAGTGGAGCAAATTAAACAAGGCCAAGGGCTGATGTTACGATATATTGTGATGGCTCTCTCAAGGAACAACATGCAGTTGCTGCCTGGGTTGCAGTTTCAGAAGAGGGGGGATTTGGAGTCTCAGAAGTCTGCCTTTGTTGATATTCTTGATGTTGAGGTTGCAGAAGCTTCAGTAGTGTATTGGGCTATTCAATATGCTCTAACACATAATTCAGGGGATACAATCAATATTGTGGGGATAACTTAAATGTCATGAAGTTCATGCAAGGCCATAATCACTCTTGCTCCTGCTTAGTAGATCGATCTGTAGTAGCTTTGGTGGCAATTGGCAAATCACCTTTCTATCCATTTCTTTCATGTTAATCGTCTTGTTAATCTACCGTCTCATGTTCTAGTCACTAACTATCGGGAAGTGACTTCTAGCATTTGCTGGGAGAACACTGCTCATCTCTAATTGCTTCATATTTCAATGCATAAATTCCAGTTTGCAGCAAAAAAAAAGTTACTACCAACCCGGCTACTGGGTTATCTGCTCAATTACACAATTTCCAACCTTTTTATTCCACTAAGGGAGCCAGAAACACTACATGACAATACTCATCTGCAGTGTGTATGCTGTTAAGATCGTCAAAATCTTGAGTTGTCTCATCCTCTCAATTCCTCGAAAAAAACAGAAAAGAAAAGGCCAAGAATACATCTAAGGAACAAACTTTTACTTGAAATACTGGTCTCAGTTTCTACACTGAAATTCCTTTCTCCACTCTAACAAAACAAAATGTTTTACAAACAATCCAAAGAAATAATGAGACTACTAAAAACGAGAATGATTATCATCACAACGGCTATAATAACAATACAATCATAAAAAGAAAGATAAAGAATGAATAATCAAACCAGTTGTCCACTTGTTTTCTCTATTTCTGGGCTTTGAGATTAGGGTAGATGCCCAAAATATGTTCTGGCGTGAAATCATGTCGTGTCAGAATTCCAACAATTGGGGGCCTCTGCAAAGAGTAAACAAGTCAGTGGTCTAGTGACATGCTTCCTTGCCAAATTAAAAATCCTTCCACAACTTCAACATTTTTGACTGGCAATATACTTAAAGGCTTATCAAACGATATATCTATGTACATGTGCGAGAGAGAGAGAGAGAGAGAGAGAGAGAGAGATCTTACCCCTGGAGTCTTTGGCACCACACACAAATGCCTGAGGCCAAGCTCCCGGAAAAGAAGTGCAGCTTTGGCTAGGGACATTGTTTCTACCACTGTGTATGGAGATGCATTAGTAATTGGATGAAGATCCACGTACAACTCCATCTCGTCCTCCTCGATGTGCAGATCTTCCAGCTTCACCCCCTTCCCTGATCCTGCCTTGGCAAAATCAAATGCATCGAACCTCTGCAATACTTCATCTCCTGTCAACACCCTCTCACTCGAGAACTTCTTCCCCTTGAGTAACACAAGCAAATGAGACCTTAGCACCAGTCCACACAACTCTGGTGCTTCTGAGATAGGTGGCTCATCAATTACAGGGAAACCATTGTGTCCAGTCGTCTTCAAAGCGTGTAATATGTTTCCCACCTTCTCCACTCCATTGAAAGTGATCAGTGGACCTGATACAACATCCCCTGCAACCAAGTGCCTCATGTAAGGCTCTGCATGGGACTCCATAAAAGGCAAACCTTTCATTTTGACGATCTGGTCATAAACGCCCTTGTTGAAATTATCAGCAACTGTTTTCGAGATAAGAAGAACAAGCATCACCAAAGGAAGCATTAATAGATCGTTAGTGAGCTCCAGTAGTATGACACAGAGGGAAACTGTCATCCTCATGGTTCCACCAAGGAAGGAGGCTGCTCCAAGGAGAGCAAAGAGACCGACATCAAGGTCAGATATGGAGCCAATGAGGGTTCCAACAAGTCGGCCATAGGAGGCTCCAGCAAGTATTACTGGGATGAAGAGTCCTGCAGGGACAGCAATGCCATAGGTGACTATGCCGAGGCAGTATATTGCGACGAAGAAGATGAATAAGCTGTACAGGGAAAATTCCTCCTCAGTGCCTGAGCTGAATAGGTTACGGATAGCATCATCATTGGTGTTGAGGAAGAGGGAAGCAAGGTCATTGTAGTGACCTTCTGAGCACTGGAAGCTCTTGTAGTTGCCTGAGCGACCTATGGTGGGGCATTGCTTCTTCGGGTCAGTGGGACATGGGGTGCACTTGGCAAGCCATGGGAGGCCAAATGAACAACATGAAGTCAAGAGAGAGATGGTGATGACAAGGAGGATTTTGAAGGAAGCACCTCTCCTGCAATCAATATCTAAACATCAATGGTGGCGCCAAAACAGTGCTAGCAAATGAAAAATAATTATGATGATGAGATAATGATCCTATTTATATATGTAATACATATGTGACAGATAGGTACCTGAACTTTCAATTATAACATTTGAATATCCTGTAATAGTTTTGGCATTATGTAATGTTTAACAGATGGAACCAATTATCTATTTTTGAGAAATCAAGTTACTCAAATGTTGCAATTGAAAGTTCAATGTACCTATCTTTCACTACCCGAAAGTACAGGGTACCTATTTGTAATTTACCGTAACAAATATCAACATCAAAATTATCGGTATATTATCATCGCAGGAGAATGGGGTAACAAGAACATACTCATTGATGATACTGTAAGTTCGGAGGACCTTGTCCACAAAATAGTTGTAGAGGCTTCCAAAAATCCCTCCAATGATTCCTAGAATTAATACTGCTAGTACATCTTGTGTGCTATAAGTGCTTATGGCCGAACTAACATCAAACATGATCAGTCCTCCCTGCCCAAATAACCCACATTTTCCACTCCAGCAATATTCTATGAGAGCTCTCAAGACCACAGCAACTACGGCAGTTGTGAAAAATGTTCTCCAAAGAAGAGCACTACGCCACCTGTAGAATATTCCAAGAGTAGCGATAAAACAGGAAACTGGTTTAGTACCTTACCTACATTTCAGTCAAGCACTCGATCAAAAGTTTTTATTGTAATTAGATTTCAAATACTCTGTTACTTCAGTTGCTAACTGACTATAGCTATGTTTAAACTTTAAACCCTTTCTATCATGTTAAGTGCATTAGAGAGAGAGAAAGAGAGAGAGAGAAAGAAAGAGAGAGAGAGATTGAATGAATGAATGAATGAACTATTTCATACCATGAAGCTGCCTCTTCGAGGGCAAAAAGGACCCCACCAACTGGGGCACGGAAAGCAGCTGCAACTCCAGCAGCTGCACCACAAGTGATCAAGTCCCTTCGATCACGGTCATTTTTGAAGTATCTAAGCCATCTCCAAGTCAAATGGTACTTGCGGGAACCCCCCTGGCCAAGTAAATTGGCTATGCAGGCCCCTGTGTGAACCATAGGCCCCTCTTTTCCTACAACAAATCCAGCTGAAACTCCAAGAACTGAGCCAAAAATCTGCCCAATTACATAATTAGAAATAGATCAATCAGATCTGTAGGCAATATTTCAACGAATGTTCTCAAAATCAGATAATAAGTTTTTAATTTTCTTCATAAGGAATACTCAACTCAACTCATCTAACCATGGGCTGGGCTTGGTCTACATTTAGGCCCATGGACAAAGACCAGTCCTAAAGTTAAGGCCCATTTATAAAAGAGTCTGTCGTCTGTCTCTGTCATGTCCTACTAGACGTTAGGCATGGTAAGCCAGAACTATGATGAGGTCTAAAATATAGGTTGGGCTACATTGTAAGCCCACAGACCAAGCCTGGGCCTAAAGTTAAAGCCCATTTATATAACAACCTGGAGCCCGGTGTTTACTGCTAAACCTGATAAGAGATGAAGGTATAGGTAAAAGGCCAAACTATGTATATTAGCATTTAGGTTGCATTTGGTAAGAGTGCAAATGCAAATATGTACGATTCATAAAAATACAAACTTGGTTTAGTTTAGCATTGATAAAATTTTGTATTCTCACCAAAATATTTGGTTGTGGCTTTTCAAAAAAAACATTTGGTTGTGATGGATAAAAGTACAAATTCCAAGACAGGAATAACATTTTTTTTGTTGACCAACATTGAGTTGCTCCCGTTTTGAATGCAAACATGTCAAGAAAAATAAATTTACTGTTTCAGTACAAAAACGTATTCTTACCAAAATGCCTGCCAAATTGAACAGGAGTACAAATTCCTAGAATTGCCTATTCATTTTAGTTTCACTTTTCTTTCTCACCTCCTGCTCCATCATAGTACTTGCCTAGTCAATTGTTCATTTTGTTATGCTAACACCATTATTCATAGTGGACTTTACACTGATTTGAACTTCCTTTTGGCGTTGTTAGATATTTTTAATATAAGTAGGTGTGTTTTTTATTAACATATGTATCATTTATACTTTTGCAATGAAAGATAAAGGTAAAACACAGAAAAAGAAATAATATCTTGATCTCTTAGAGGTTGATACATCCAAGACATGTGGAAAGTTTATTCAAGATACCTTTCTCATCCCTTCCTAATAAAACAGGAAAGATAAATGAGGTGTAATGTGGGGAAAAAAAAGGAATACAAGAATCACTAATAAAAAAAGACACAATCAAAGGAGGTCTCATTGAAAGCATTACAATGTGTTGTTTAGTGGATAAAAACTATAGATATTTTTGCTCCATTCTCCATAGATGATACTAGAGGATGGTAGCAAGTAGCTCATTCCTCTTCACCTAGACCAATTGTTACTTTAGAGTGGCAATTGTTGTCATGTATCTAATAGAGTTGCAAGGGCAATTAGGTCTTTTTATCTTCCATTATGTAATGCTTACATCACCCTAACATATAATAATGAAATGGGTGCTGCCAAGCCCAAGCAATTTACTTCAAAAACGTTTTTTTTTTTTTCTCCTCTATCATCTTCTCTTATCTCTTCTCCTTCAAACTAAGGGCAATATGGTGTTTCTGAACACAAGCATCTCCTAAGTGTACAGATGAAAAAATGTAGGTTTGCTTTCTACAGAAGTTTAGAAGAATTATAAAGTGTTACACTCCTTTAATGAATAAGAGACACATAACAGTGCCTCCATGGAATTTACTGGCACACTCTGTTTTTGTTAAAGGGTGCAGTACTCCAGATAAAGGAAAAATATGTTTATTTTTGCTTAGTATAATAATGAAAATATTACACAAGGAGACAAAATTCTTTTCCTAAGGGTAGCTTCTGACCATTTCCCAGTGTGTCTTCCGGTTAGAGAATGCTCAGTGTGTGTGTGTGTGTTCAGAAGTCCACAAGAGACAAGGGAGGGGGAAATAAAAGAAGCTTGCGAGTTGCGACTAACCTTTACAAAGAGAGTACTTGGAGCCAATATGGAATAGGCATCCACACCATTAAGATAAGCTTTCACTTCAGGTATACCAGAACCTGCTGCTGCAGGGGCAATATAAGCACACAAAACAGCTGCAGCAACTGCCAAACCCAAGTTGCATCCTGCGAATGCTAAAAACGCCTTGAAGTATCTGCACTGGAACCATAATTATATTACACCTATAGTTACTTAGGAACTAGTTAAAGTATGGACCTCTTTTGCAGAATAATATTAATTGTCAAAGATATGAAGCTTCAATATCTTTGCACCAAATTAATGTGATTTTGACTTTTGAGTGCACAGGATTGACAAATCTACTAAAGTTTGACTCAGATTAGAACATCAAACAATTTATTAAGTTGCCGCGTTCAGCTTACCTATCCTTGAGCATGAGATCGTTTGTAAGTAGTAATTTGAAACCAGCAATATTTTCAACCCCAAGGTTATTGAAGAACCCAACAAGTCCTGTAGCCAACCCAATAAGAAGTGCAAGAGTCCACTTGAGGACAACGTACTGAAATATCTGAATCTTCTTCCTTGATCTCCAATCCTGCTTAAATAAGTCATTTTCAACAATCCTGAAAAGATGAGGCATGGAGAAGCATAAGATGGAACATTCATACTATGGTAACAAGAGAAAAGCACCAAACTTAATTTAAGAACCTCAATCCCCCCCCCCTCCCCCGAAAGAAAAAGGGAAAACACTATTCGATTTACAATTGCAACAAACATTTTCCTTAGCAGAGAAAAAGCCTTTTGTAGTTCTATTGGAAAATAATGTTGTAAACAATTGATTTTTTGTTTTCAATTAATTATGGAAGAGATATTGATGGAGAGAATACTACATTTATAAAATCCAGACTGGTTAAGAAGCCAGCTAAATCAATAAATCAATAAACCGGGAAGAGGCACCCCAACCCCAACAAGTTGGGCTAGCTTGAATACTAAATTTGCATCACAAGCCCAACTTACTAACTAATCTGACCGGTTTCTTTGATCCATCCAACCCAAGTAGATTGATATATGTGGCTGAGCCCAGAGGCGGAGCTAAGGATATGGTGGGTCCTTGGCCCCCCAAACTTTTTGTTAAGACTGTTATTTATATATGGTTAATTATCAAGAAGAGGCTGGGTCAAAACATAATAAAGTGGGTCTTTGCTCCATCACTGGCTGAGCCAGTTGAATTTAGCAAGATTTAAGGGGTGCTGTAGTTAAAACTAATATGGTATCAGTAAGAGAACCTATTCTACAGTTAAGTCAAATCAAAACCCGTTGGTGTTTTCTTATTCAACTCAAGGTATATATCAAATAAGAGGAACAAACTGAAGAACAATTAGAAAGAAATGAGGCAGACGGAGGATGCATATACTATGTAAAAGACCAGGCCAGATGAAGTTAAATATGCTTACTCGTAATCAAGGCTTTCGATGGGACAAACATTGGCACCAACAATGGCAATCTGGGAGGTCGTGTTCGTTCTCTTCTTAAGGAGAGGCTCTCGAATAATCATATCATCCGATATCCCCGACCCATTCCTTTCCAGCCTTCCCTTCGAAAACATTCCATCGCTCTCGATGTCGATGGGCTCTCCTCTATCCATCTCTACGCTTCAATATTCAGTGCAGTTCTTTAATGTGATTTCTCTCTGGTACGTATATATCCCCCACCAATTTTCAGAATTCAATCTTTCAGATTTGTTCTTCTGATGCTCTTCCCTAACTGTTTCATATCCTTTCTGCACAGAGGAATAAGGAAAAGAATTAATGCATCAAACAAAAATCAACCTGCGTGGCTGCGTCATACTTGCGAAATTTTGACTTTCCAATGGATTTAATTTCCGTGATCCAAATTGATCACGGGTGCTTCATTGATGAAAGTTACGAAAATGATGACAATCAGATTGTAGCCCTACTAAGACGTCACTTCATCTAACTCGTGGCGCCATAATAAGGTTTTGAATTCGTTGTTTTAGGCTTTTAGCGCGACCCACGGCATTAGTGAACTCACCACATGAGTGGGTTGAAAGCAAAAATGGTTAATTTATAGGATAAGTTGACTGAACTGCACAGTCAACTTTCATCTGAAGATAAAAGTTCAACTAATCTGTACAGCCGGACTCACCACATGAGTGGACTCATGGCGAAAATGAACAAATGTGGAAAGTAACAGCCGAGTTCGGCTCATGTCGCCAACAATCGAGTTCAGTTTTGCTACGACACCGTCAAAATTAAAGCAGGGCTAAAACAGAACATGGTGGCCTCGTCAAGAAGTCGCTGTATTTGATCGAAGGTCTCATTTGGCATGTTTTTTCACACGCAGGCCCGATAAATCGCAATTCGGTCAATCCGATTTGGTTTGCGGTAGATTTAGTTGTCAAAAGTTAATGTGTCAAAAAAACGCAAAAAGTTAAAATAGAATTTTTACTGTTTTTTTATTTATCTTGGTATGAAAAGACACATCTTCCAAAAAGACCTTCAAAACAGCCCCTTAATTGTTTCAACACTATTCTAACAGACGTGGATTGCAAACAATCCGCAGACTTCTAAATGGGAATACACAAGCGTTTGCAATAAATCCAAGAATACATCAAAGCATCTCATTGCGGGTTGCATGAGACACAATCGCAGCCAAGGTTATTGAGAAGTTTATGTGCAACAGTTGATGTGATGTTTTGTTTGTTTTATTTTTTTTTTTCTCAAACACTGGCCAGCCGGCGTGTTTAGATGAAGGGTTTCTGAATTGTTCTGTGATCACAGTTACAAAAATGTGATCTTCAACCTTGGAGTGAGCTTGTCAAAAAATTTAAGGGAAGTTATTGCAATTATCAAATTTTAGGGGAAGTTTAAGCAACGGCCAAAAAATTCAAGGGATGTTTCAGTTATTTACAAATAATATCATATCCGAATTTTGAATCCATCTGCCTTTCGGTGGCGGCCTTTTCAGGCAAGTGCATTATCAGGTAAGTGTTTTCAACCTGTTTTTTTTTTTCCTAGCTAGATTAGTGGGGAAAAGTAATATTATGAGGTCCAAATTTATTTATTGTTTTACCAAAAGAATTATTTATTGAAAAATGAATATAAAGAAAACCACTTTTTCATTCACCAACTCCCCACTCAATTTATTGAACAAAAAAAAGAATGGATCTAAGAAGAGCTCTGTTCTGTTGAAATTCGAGAATCAAAAGCGTATACAGCCGTATTTCAGTTGATGCTTAAAGTATATTGAAACTCTAGACAGTGCTAAAAAAAAAAGAAAAAAAAACTCCAGATTATTTTAAGCTCCCGTATTTATTTTAAGCTGCCGTAAATAAATAAATGGAAAATTATCTAAAACCCCTCCCCACATTTTATTGCCAATGTTAGAACTTCCACTACTTTATACAAACTTAATATCAAAACTCAAAATATTATATTAAATGATAAATAGAGAAATATATTAACGAAAACCCTATGAAATTACTACTCTACGCAACGTATATAGTGGACTGTTATGTGAAACAATATTTTCGACCAGCCATTGATCTGATAGTGTTACGTGGAATAATGCTTTCAACCCATGTTGATTTGATTTGGATGTAATAACATAGACGTCCATGGGCCCATGCATGGCCCATGCACGCTTAGGTAAAGCTCAAAGCCCATCAAGAAAACCTAATCATCTGGGTTCTTGTAGGTAATTAGGACAACCCTAATCCTATCTCCAGATAAGAGTTATCCTAGATAAATCTAAACTAACCCAAATAAGTTCTATCTCTTGACTTCTCATCTTTGTATAGTCCCACTGTAACTCAATCTCTGTAATTATAAATAGGGTTGATTCGACCCTAGTATATACAAGGTAATCAACTCATTTCTCAAGATCTCTATTATTTTATTTCTGTTTTAACTTGGTATTAGAGCCATGTCGATAGAGACAGGCACACATGGTAGCAGCCCAGTAGTGTCCAATAATGGCTTAACATCAAGTAGTGTGCTCCCTTCAATCCAAAACGCCACTCATTATCTTCCTATCAAATTAGGAAGTGACAACTACCTACTGTGGCGTGCTCAGTTCCTTCCCATCCTTTGACACCACCACCTGCTGAAACTCGTAGAAGGGAAGAAGAAGTCACCACCTGAAGTTATACCCAATCCAGACGGTACAAGGATGACTGTGAACCCTGAATTCGAAAAATGGATAGACATCAATCAACTTGTGTTGAGTTGGCTGATTTCCTCTCTCACTGAAGGAGTTATGGCGCAAGTGGTAGGTCTGTCAACATCATCTGAGGTATGGACTTCCCTTGCTCATAGTTATTCTACACACTCCTGATCCAAGGTACTACAGTTGCGAAGACAACAGCAAAATCTTAAAAAGGGGTCTCTTTCTATTTCTGCCTATATACAGCAAGCGAAATCCATTGCTAAGTCTTTCTACGGTATCTAAACCAGTCCTCAAGTCAAAACTAGTACTTTACATTTTATCTGGCTTAGGGAGTGAATATGAGTCAATGGTTATAGCACTTACCAATCGACCGGATGCAGTAGATCTCAGTATTGTTGATATTATGAGAGCACTTCTGAACCATGAATGTTGGCTTGAAGACCTAGCTCTTGTGTCAGACACTAGAAGTGCAAATCTGGCTGGCGTCCCTCCTAAGAAAAATAATTTTCAGAAGCCCCAACAATAGTTCTCTCCAAACTTCAACAACAACAGAGGTAAGGGGCATGGACGTGGTGCTCCACAATATAATCACCAATCCTTTCAAAATCAATCACATCAATTTTCTAGAGGATGTGGAGGTAAAAATAATGTTACTTGCCAGATCAGTAATAAATTTGGACACAGTTCCCTACAGTGTAGAAAAGCAAAATATGCCTTTGGTTTTTCTGATAATTCTTGCAATGATCATTCTACAGTTCATGGAGGGGTAAATACACCCCAGAATCAGTATGAAAATAATTTTGATTCCCAATTCGTACCCGGATTCTAGGGCTATTCATCACATGACCCTAGATCTCAATAATCTGCAGAGTCGTACTAAGTATACTAGACCAGACCAAATGAAGGTTGGCAATGGTCAAGGTTTGAATATTCATCATACACGACCTTCTTCTTTGATTTTTAATCAGCATGCTTTCTCTTTGAAAGATATCTGTCATGTTCCTTTTATCTGCAAGAATTTACTTTCTGTCAATCGATTTACAAAGGATAATGATTTGTTTTTTGAGTTTCACCATGACTGTTGCTATGTGAAGGATTATACAGGGAGAATCCTCCTTTAAGGGGTCACTAGAGATGGATTATACAGTTTTCTTGCATCAACCACAATCACTCCCGAAGCTCTTTTTGGAGAACGTACTTCACTTTGTGGTTGGCATCATCGCCTTGGTCATATAGCTATGTGAAATGTACGGTAAGTTATTTCAAAGTTTGGTCTTCCATTTATTAGATCTAGTGTTAATGAGTCTGTTTGTGAGTCCTGTCAAATGGTTAAGTGTCATAGAATGCCCTTGAAGTCATCCAGGTCTCAATCCAAGCGTTCATTAGATTTAATTTTTTCAGATGTATGGGGACCTATTCCCGTTAAGTCAAATAATGGATTTTCTTATTATGTAATTTTTATGGATGATTTTTCAAAATTTTCCTAGGTGTATCCTATGGCTCAAAAATCAGATGTTTGTGATTTATTTATTAAATTTAAGAGACATGTAAAAGTTCTATTCAATGCCAAAATAAAAGTTTTTTAGTCCGATTGGGGAGGAGAGTATCGCTCTCTTTTCCAGTACTTAGATTCGCAAGGCATCACACATCAATTGGCGTACCCTCATACACACAAATAGAACGGATCAGTTGAACGAAAGCACAGACATGTGATTGAATTTGCTTTATCTCTACTGGCCTCCTTCAAGCTCCCCTTCTCTTTCTAGGCTGATGCAGTAGAAACTATAGTTTTTTCGATAAATCGATTACCAACAAAGGTATTGCATGGTATTTCTCCAAGCTCCCCTTCTCAAGTTTTTTATTCTATTCTATTTTTTCTTCTTCTCTTCTGGCGCTTCTCATTCTCTTTTTTCTTTTTTGTCACCATCACTCCAACCATCAAAGATTCAGAGGAAAGATTTCATTAGAGATAGATGGTGTAGTGGGCAGGAATGGCCTTGACTGGTGGACTTTTAACAAGGAACATCTCAGTAAAAAATGTTTGACTTTTTGTTCCACTACCTGTTTTTGCAACTTGTTTCTAATTTTGTTAATTTATAAAACTTTATTAATTTTTCTTTCATACAAAACCCTATAAAATATAAAACATATATTATAATGTAATATACACCTATTGGATATGAATGACAAATATTCAAATTTGATTTGATAACTTAAATGATTAGATATTGTGATATGATTTGACTATGTTAAGTAGCTATTCAAATTCAAATTCGAATGGCCATACAATAGAGTCCATAGATTTTGAAGTAAAATAAATAAATAAACAAATAAACACACAATAGCAAAACAAATTTCTGCATTTTGGGGTGGTTATGCTTACGAGCAAGGCTTAGCTGAGCGTTTTAGCTATTAAGTGGGTTGTGGAACCAATGATAAGATTCCATACCAGTATTAAATACATGGGGCCCACATCTTTTATAGTGGGGCCCATGAATTTAATACTAGCTTGGAACCTCATCATTGGTTTCATAGCCTGCTAAACAACTAAGAGGTGTTTTGTAGTGTGGATGAGAAATTTGTGGGTGTGGATTGGTCTACACCACATCCTATGGCAGGGACCAATTCACATCACACAATAATCCACAGCTGTTTTGAACTATGGACAAATTGTGTGGACTGGACTAGTCTACACCCACAGTGGCGTTCTGTAGGCGTGGTGTGGACTAGTCCACACCACACTTTTTGATTCCATGTATCTCATACATTTTATAAATGATCTAAACAGTTAATCATAAATATCTAATTTTTGCATTTTATATGATAAATATATTGAAAACTACATCAATGAATTAATATTAACCAATAAATATAAATTTTTTATAAAAACAATAATAAAATAATTAAAAATTTTAAAAATATATTTTAAATTTTAAAAATATTATTTTATTGATAAAAACATTAAAAATTAAAAAAATTAAAAAATTAAGTAAAATAATTAACATTTTATGGACAAAAATAGTAAAATGTGAAATAAACAATAGGGTTTCAACCTTTCAGGGAGAGTGTGAAGCAGGGGATGAAAAATAGATTATGGATGGGCCCTAACCACGAGTTTTTGTCGTGGATGAGAAATTGGGGTGTGGACAAGATCGGTCCACAATCTAGCATGGACTAGTCTCATACACAGCCAACTGAACAGGTGTTCATCCCATGAACGGAACCGTCCACGAGATGAACACAATGCCGAACACCACCTAAAGTGTTCAGCTAATCAGAATTCAATTTTGTCATCCAATTACTACAATGAGCACAACAATCCCCAAAACGTACAAAACTAGGAATGGCAACGGGGCGAGTTCGGGGCGGGGATCATATTCCCCATCCCTGCCCCAATTCTGATATTAACCCCCATCCCCATCAGGGATAAAATTTGTTCTCCATCCCCGATCCCCGATGGGGATGGGTTCCCCGTAGGGACCTAAATCCCTAAAATTTTTTAGATAATATAATTTTTTTGAAAAATAAATTTACTTAAAATAAATACAAATTTTAAATTATAAATAATGTTTTAAATATGTTTTGATATGTATATATAAATAATATACATATAATATAAACAATATTTATAATCGGGATCGGGGCGGGGCAAGGACCTCAATCCCCATCTCTGACCCTAACCCCAATCGGGAATTCCTATTAATCCCCATCCCCGTCCCCGCCCCGCGAAAACAGTTCACATCCCCAACCTGATGGGGTCAAGGAAGTAAGGTCCCCGCCGAGGATGGGGAAAATCGCCATCCCCATACAAAACATGATAAAAAGTCCAGATTTAAGATCAAGAAATAGTTTAAAGTAGCATTGCATGCAGTTCTTTACTCTTTCCCACCACCTACCTCCATTCAAATGTGAGTCTTGATCATTAAAACATGGGATATATAAGACGTTTTAGTAGGGGTGTTCAAATTTGGATTATCAAACCAAAAACCAAATCGAATTGTTTTGGTTTATTTAATTTTCAGTTTGGTTCTGTTTGATAATTTTAAAAATATTGGTTTTTAGTTTTTGGTTCTGTTTGGACAATTTTTTCAACCAAATTAATCGAAACAAATACATATATTTATATTTTAATTATAAATATTAACATTAATATTAATATTACTATATTATTAATATTGATATTAATATATGATATGCATTTTAATTATAAATGTTGGTAATTATAATAATAAATATGAATATAAATGTAACATTCATGTATATTTTAATTAACCAAATTAATCGATTTAAAACCGAACGAAACTGATCTGAATTCAGTTCGATTTTAAGCCTAATTTAATTGGATTCAATTTTTTAAAATGGCCTAACTGAAATGTCAGTTAAGTTCCATGTTCCAATCAAACCAAACTGAACATTACGTTTTTAGAGCCTCAAAAAAGCCACCCAATAAAAAAAAATACCCTTGACGTTTTGCCAAGCAAACAAATACCTTCTCGAAGCCATTAAAAGCTAGCATTCCTCTTCTGTATATCCTAAGCCAGGGGCACTTTGGTAATAACAAGCAATTGGAAGCATGCACCCCAAACAAATAAAGGCCTATGTATGGGGCGAAGCCAAGTATATTTGTAGGGGTCCTTAGCCCCGAGAGCGAATCCTGTGAACCCTCAGTTCACCGAAAAATGTACCCTCCAATAGAAGGCACGCACATTGCCCTCTTTAAAATGGAAATCCCATTAATGTTAAACTTCAAAATACAAAAAAATTAAAAGAATCCATCGATGGTACTCATTACATTATCGCTCACAGAAGTCGTTGTTCGTTTGGTGGAATGGTTTCTTGAGTTACATGATGTTAGACAGTGTATGCCCTTAGCTCCAATCAGAATGATGTACATTATGACATTTAATATAAATGAATAAAGTACATATTTGATTCATGTTATTATGGTATGTTTCTGTGTAATACCCTTAAACTGGACACTTACGATACTCATGTTAGTTTAGAATCTTCACAGCCGTTGGATAGATTTGGGGAGATTTATCTTGTCAAGGCTAACACTAATGTGCTGCCAAGTTGGTTGGGGTGGCTAGTCTCAACTGCCAGGGTGAGACCTGATGTACATGCAATGTGGGTTTTCTTAAAACCCTAAACCGGACCAAAATTCCTGTGTTGCCCTAGACCTTGGAGATATATGGGCAAAACTGAAATGCTACACCTGACCTCTACACTCGATTATGATACTACACTATGTGTCGGATTGGGCTGCTTTTGATATGCTAATCATTGAGATCCTTAGAGGGGGTCAAAACCTAGGTATGTTGGGACAGTCCGAGAATTCATTTGAGTGGGTGATCATAGTGACATGATCATCCCCTTTATCGAAAAAGTGAATGATCGGGTGATAGGGCTTCTGAAGCCAGACGAAGAAAGTATCAAGAATGGGAGGAAAAAAATTCTCTTGACTGGTGTTATATTATAGCCTCTTTGCATA